AAAGTTCTCATCATAAGAGAAAAAAATTGTAACTATGTATGATGATGGATATTAACCAGACTTATTGTGATTATTTTGCCATGTATACAAATAATGAATAAAACTCATATAATCTTATATGTCAATTATATCTCAGTGCAGGAGAAAAAAAAAGATGTCCTTCCAAGCAGCTAAACAAAGCTCTTCTTCATGTTTTGTTCTTGAAGGGTATTAAAAAAAATGATTTTGCTTCCATTTCTGCTTAGCACTATTATATTTCATAATATATAACAATGTATCCTGGTTTTGTGCTTTGAAATAATACCTGCATCTCATTCCCATGTAAAATAGACATATGACCTTAATTTTATTTTGTTATGGTTTTAAATTTACATCCAAGTTAGGTAGCATATAGTGCAACAATGATTTCAGGAGTAGATTCCTTAATGTCCCTTACCCATTTAGCCCATCCCCCTCCCACAACCCCTCCAGCAACCCTCTGCTTCTCTATATTTAAGAGTCTCTTATGTTTTGTCCCCCTCCATGTTTTTATATTATTTTTGCTTCTCTTCCCTTATGTTCATCTGTTTTGTGTCTTAAATTCCTCATATGAGTGAAGTCATATGATATTTGTCTCTCTTTGACTAATTTCGCTTAGCATAATACCCTCTAGTTCCATCCATGTAGTTGCAAATGGCATGGATTCTTTCTGAGCGCCGAGTAATACTCCATTGTGTATGTGTGTGTGTGTATATATATATATATATATATATATATATATACATACACACCACATCTTCTTTATCCACTCATCCGTCGCTGGACATTTGGGCTCTTTCCATACTTTGGCTGTTGTTGATAGTGCTGCTATAAACATTGGGGTGCATGTGTCCCTTCGAAACAGCATCCCTGTACCCTTGGATAAATACCTAGTAGCGCAATTCCTGGGTTGTAGGGTAGTGCTATTTTTTACTTTTTTGAGGAACCTCCACACTGTTTTCCAGAGTGGTTGCACCAGCTTGCATTCCCACCAGCAATGCAAAAGAGATCCACTTTTTCCACATCCTTCCCAACATCTGTTGTTGCCTGAGTTGTTAATATAAGCCATTCTGACAGGTATGATGTGGTATCTCATTGTGGTTTTGATGTGTATTTCCCTGATGATGAGTGATGTTGAGCATTTTTTCATGTGTCGGTGGGCCATCTGGATGTCTTCTTTGGAGAAATGTCTATTCATGTCTTTTTCCCATTTCTTCACTGGATTATTTGTTTTTGGGGTGTTGAGTTTGATAAGTTATTTATAGATTTTGGATTCTAACCCTTTATCTGATATGTATATGACCTTTTAAATATTGATCATTACATATGATATAAAATATATAAACTAAGAAAGTATCTTCAAGAACACAGGAGTCTTATATAAAACAATTATTGAGCTAGAATAAGTCTAGTTAGGTATTTAAGAGGTACAAGAACTCTTTGAAATATCAGTTTCCTACCTGTAAAATAAAGGAGCTGTATTAGATGCTCTCAAAACCCCTTGGAGATATAAACTGATACGAATTATTAGAGAAACATTTTTAATTAAAATTTTAATGTATAATTAATGGTTACCTAGTGGTTTGAAACAGTTTTTACATTAGTAAAAATGTACCAATCCAAAGATTCTCAGATTATTGTAATTCTGTTCCATTTGTCATTACACAGAAGATTATTTCCAATCTCATGATAACATTTCTCATGGTTAGACAATTAAAGGTTTCTTTCTTATATGTAGTAACATAGGAGGCCAGAAATCTCACTAATTGTAATTCTGTAGCCTGCAGTGATCTTCATTAATGCATACACTGGTAAAAATCTATATTTTCTAACAAAATGGATTGCATCTGTTTTGATTTGATTTTTTTATAAGTGGATAAAAAAGTGACTTTTAAGAAGTCTGAACTGTATCTTTCACAAGTAATATGATACATAGTAATCCTTTGTGAAAGCTTCATAAATGTTGGTGATTTGCAAAAAGTATTGAGTAAACTCAAAAGCTCTCATATTCCATACCATTTGAACACACTTGCCTTATGAAAATGCAACTAAAGTAGAAACTCTTCCATTTTTATAAGAATGCCTAGGACTTAGTGATTTCTCTGCATACGTAATAGACAATGAATAGATTCCCAGTGATATATCATAACCTCTGCATTGGGTTTGAAGGAAAGATATATTTGAGGAGCCATCCAGAGATATATATTCATTTCAAGAGGGATGTATAAAAAATTTCTCTTCCATTTCTGTTGCATTTCATTGTTAAACTTGAGGTGGGATGCACTTTTTGTTTACTAATTCTTTTTCTTCTTTTCGACTAATCACTTACAGCCACATGATGTGTCTTACCACTAAAACAAATGTTCTCATTTATCTAGTTCTCTTGTCCTTTGCCTTCTTGCATCTCCTCACTGGACATTATCCTTAAAGTTATTTGTTATCAGTCACATTTCTCATTTGCTTTCTCAGACAGTAAGCCAGTATTTCCATTTTCTTCAGTTAGACAGCCATATTCTATGTATAAGAAATAAAAATGTCAACACTCAGATTATTAAAATGTGTTTTACTTAGTCCAATAGTAGTTACAACCAGTCTGATTTCTATAGCTATATGGACAGATTTATTGAGCAGATGATACATACATTTCTATTCAAGCATGATCACTGAGAGAACCCATTTTTCAAATATGGCATCTGCTTCTTTAGACAATTGTTTTGATATATACTTCATTTTGTATATAAAATCCAGGTGCCTTCTAAGGGTAAAACTTGAGGAAATATGTAATTTCCTTTTAGGGGTAATTAACTATAATGGATTTGGTCTTTCTGTTCAATTTGTCTATGACACCACTATAAGGTTTGTGGGGTTTTTGTTTTGTTTTGTTTTGTTTTGTTTTGTTTTGTTTTGTTTTTTTTGTAAAATAACGTTTGTACTGTATTAGTCCTCTGCTTAAAGCCTTTCACGTAGTTTTCCAGTGAGATATTTAGGATAAAATCCAAATGTCACAGCCTGACTGGGTGATCATACATAGTTTGCCCCTGATGCTTCCGCCCTCATCTTCTATGTCCCCTTCTTCTGAACACTTCACCGTAGCAACATGGTTTCATTCATGTTCCCAACATATCTGGAGTACTTCTGTCTTCGTGTATTTTCTCAGGTCCTCTCTTCTTCCTGGAATGACGTCACCCCCTCTTTTCTCATTTACAGAAATACTGTCTGACTTTCATGAATGAATTTTTTCACTTTGCTCATGAAACCACTGGTGAAATATTCATTGAGGGGAAAGAAGGGAATTGAGATATAGCGGCAAGGAAACCTTTGTCTATTATGTGGCAACTATTATGATGGGCACTTTACATACATTACTTCAGCAAGGGCTCTCTGTTTCATAAATCGCCATAACGTTTTTTATTTCAGAAGAAGTCATTATTATCCTCATTATGACCAACTTCATGGACGTTAGTGCATATCCCACCTCTATCGTGTGTACAGCATGCCATGTGGTTTCCGGTGTACAAAGATGAAAGAGATGTGGGCTGTTCTTGACACTGGAGAAAAGACAGGAAGATTCATTAAAACTAAATAATGTATAAAGCGTGTGAAAAATTTAGTAAACACTAGTTCAGAGAGGAAGAGTGGTTGCTGAATATTGACTAAAATACTTAGTACCTGGAAGAGTAGCTTGAACCGTAAACATGTGTTTTATAGATGAACATAATTGCCTAACCATTGTTACTTATGTGATGTGTTAGCTACTTTCCTCATCCTTGTGGACAAAAATCAAGGGGTGGTTTTTATAGAGAATGAAGTTATTACACAGTACTTGTTGTCAGATTGATTTGTGACTGCCACTATTGTAATGAAAAAGAAGGTTTTATTTTGGGATGAGCACTGGGTGTTGTATGGAAACCAATTTGACAATAAATTCCATAATAAAATAAAATAAAATAAAAAGAAAGTTTTATTTCAAACATTTAGGCTGTAGCTTCATATTCAGCTCTGTTTAGTATTTTACGTGTAATTACAAGGGAAATTATTCATGATAGGATATAATCTTGAAAGATATGTAAACCAGAGGAAGATCAGAGGTAGATTAAAGATTATCATGATTTAGAATCAATTGTAGTAAGTTCAAATAAGCAGTTCCTACCCAGAAATGCACTATTTGTTTAATGAGAACTTGTATTTGCTGTTGCAGAACACTTCTGAGAACTGGAAGTCTTTCTTGTTTACAGTGAAGCATTAACACCTTTTTATAACCTAATTTCTTAATATTTCCCCCAAGACAGTGTTTGCAAAATACACTACTTTCATTCATTCTAACCTGAAATATTTTTCTATTTTTCAAAAAATACAGTGGTTAGTTTCTTCCATTATTTTTGGTACTTTCTTGTTTTATCATAAAAAATGAATATTTTGCTGGCATTGCAATTATTTTGCAACATTTGATATACTGCAATATATATTACAATATTCTATATATAATTACCATATACTATATTCCAACAATTCATAGACCCAACATATTGAAATTGGATTCATTTGCTAGTTATCTTTTAAAAATTGTATCTTAAAAGAAATCCAGAAAGAGAGAATGGAGGGAAATGGGATCTCACAATATTGGCAATACCATGTTGTTTATAGGTTCTTTTTTATTTCTCTTGAAAAATATAAAGCTGTCCGTAATATCTCTGCCTATTTCACTTTACTGGCTTTCAGACATCATAATCTCATTTTTAATATATTATTCCAAATAGAAAACTTGAAATCTGAGCATGGATTACACTAGTTACTTTATTCTGAAGCTACTACAATAACTGGATGTAGGAAAAGGTTTCTCTTCACCGTGGTGGAACTAAACCCCATACTAGTACAGGAAGTGCCAATTCATGTGATTAACCAAAGAAAAATACTGTATCTGAAGTCATGGATGTATAATACTGTAAATGTTTCTGACATCACTCACGCTTCTTCTTTTATAGGTGTTAAAATGGGTAGAGGAAGCAGTGCAGTCCTCTAAAGTTCACCTGTTATCAACAGATCATTTGGAACAAGCTGTAAACACTTGGAAAATTCCTTTTGATCCCAGCCTAAAAGAGGTTACTGTGTCTCTGAGTGGCCCTTCTCCAGGGATTGAAATTCGCAATCCTTTAGGTGAGATATATCATACATCATATAATAAAATACGAAAACCATGAAAGGTAAAAGTTTTTTGCACACTTATTTATGTCAAGTTAATGCTAACTTTACGAATAAATTCAGTGAATTCAAAAGTGACTAGGAAGGATTTTTTAAAAATAAAACTTTTTAGTCATAAGTATTGTTGAATTAACATGAGATTCAAAAAACTGAAACTCCTAATAATTTATATAGATCAGATTTGGTAACTTAATTGTAGCTAAACTACTCAAAAGAAAAAAAATATTTAAATTGAGCCTGAAATTATATTTTCCTAATTTATGTATGAGGAAATATTTCATGTAACATATTCTATAAAATTTAGTATTTTGTGTTATTTTTAATGAATCACATGAAAAACCTCCTTTTAAAACTAACTGCCTATTTGTTTTTTACCATATTGTCTTCTTGATAGGGTTGACTTTTACAGAAGAGAGTTAAAAACCACATTCTTTAATAGAATAATGTTTTAATTTACTTTGCTTCCTCAGTTGTATGTCATAACCCTAGGAATTGACCTGCTTCCTTGGCTAGTTGAATATTCTAATAAGACTTACATTGAAAAGGAATCTAGTAAAGATAGAAACCTCATTTTCCCTATTATTTGCATTTAGAATTTATTTATTTATTTGTTTGATTATTTATTTATTTACCTACCTATTGATGTTTGTAACATATTATCAGTTCCATTGTGGCTTTAGTGTGCTGCTTTTTTTAAACCTATTTGTGAGTATTTGTAAATGGAAAGAGAGTAACTAGCTTACTTATTCAATTTAAGTCTTAAGAAATAACTAATGCCTAAAAGAAAACAGCATAGGAAATTGTCCCCAAAGACCACATTCGTGCTACCAATCAAAGTGGAGATTTACCAAACAAATAAGACCTATTTTTTAAGACTCCTATGGGTTTAGCTGAATACATGAATTTGTCTGTTGAGGTAGCATTCCATTCTAACCTTCCATGCTCCCCAGGAAAGATTTGTGGTTTTCACTACCTGGATAATTAAAAATATGTTATTCACTGTATTATGTTTCCACTACTTTAAAAAGCCATTGACATTGATATTTTAAAAGTTGTTTACAATAATTGTAAAACTTCTGATGCAAACATAGATTCTTATAATTGATTTGTTTATATAACTGCAGAAGGAGTCTATAGAGAGCCACGAGTGAATAACTAAACTATGGCTTAATTCCTAATTTGCTTTTCTTCTTTATGTCCCAACTATTAGATACTTTAGGTAAATCTCAGGTCATAGGAGATAGTACCATGCTACTTTATTTCACTGCCTCCTTTAAATGTGACAATAAAAGCTTTCTCCTGTGCTTCATGGAATACAGGTTAATGTTTTGGGCTTCGTGCACAAATATGCCCAAGGCTCTCATGTTAGTAATACCTTGAGTGATCTCCAAAAAGACATTTATTCTGGTTTACTGTTCTTGCCATCTGTTAAATCGAAATGTCTCTAGTGACTGCACGTAACTTCTCAGTAGCCATAATAATTGCTACCTAGGCTGGCTTTGGAAATATGATTGCAGTCTGCCAGTTGTTATTTTTGTTTTAAGACCAAATCCTCATAGCAAATGGGAATATGATACTTCAGTTTCAATGTCCAGAAACCATAAAATTAAACATATTTTAGAAATAAATAATGTTTTGAGCTATAGGCACACATGTCCATCAGGTAATTTGTACTGGAAATGTATACAGCTAGTACACATAGCTGAAAGAAAGCTTATGCTTGTTACCTTTATGTCTGTCTTTCAGGGAAGCTGATAAAAAAAGGATTTGGCCTGAATGAGCTATTAAATATCCATAACTCTGCCAAGGTGGTGAATGTTAAAGAGCCAGAGGCTGGAATGTGGACAGTGAAGGTATGGTTATTTTACAAAGTCTGTTTATTTTGTTTTGATGTTGGCATGTTTTATAAAGTATATACAATATTTATATCTTCTCTCGCAATCACGGAGAATGCTTTTACTAAAAAGCAGTATACATAATGCATTTGTAAAGGTGTCTTGATCACGTGAATTTGGTAGTGTTAAGTTTTGATGACCATGAACGGCATTGATATCACCACAGAATACAACTAAATTCTCAGATAGTTTTCCAATAATCAAACCTGTAGATTGACTTTTTTATGCACCTCCTTTTTCCAAAACAATCAGAGATGGAGCTAGTCGAGAATAATGGTTAGGGGCATAGGCTCTAGTACGGGGATGCCTGGGTAGGAATCTCAATGCTGCTACTTAAAAGCTTTATTTCCTTGGGACTGTAGAGTTCTCTGTGCCTTGCTCTCCTCCTCCTAATGTCGGAATAAAAAAATAATACTCTTTTACTTCATAGAATTGTGCTGAGAATAAAATTAATATGATACAAATGAAATACTTAGCATAGTTCCTGTTACAAAGTAAGCACTCAGGTTCTATTGGCTCTTGTTATTTGGATAGATCTACATTCATTGTTTACTTGAACCCAATATGGTGTTTGGATCCTAGAATTACACGAAGTAGTATATATTCACTCTAAGCATTGTATTATGGTAATATGGAGGACAGAACATACACTCCGAATTCAGAATACCATAAATTGAAATCCAGTTCTGCAGTAGATTATGTGTGTGACTCATTGTCGTGGATATTCTAGGGACTTGCCCGTGTTTCTCAGGCTTTTCAATGTGCTCTGGCCTAATTCCAACTCCAGTATCTGCATTTCTGTGCCTAAGAGGTTTTTTTTTTTCCAGAACAGAAGAAGGCTGTTCTGCCAGAGAATTAAACCCCTCAGGAGCAGCTTTCAGTCTCTGGCAGGAATAAACTCCAGTTGTCCACATGGGAGCAGGACTGAAAGCACACCCTTCTGGGGCTACATTCCTTTTCCTGTATCACTTCCCTCTTCCTATGAGCATACTTTGTACCTCCCAAATAAACAGCTTGCTCTAGAATCCTTCTGGGATAACTCAAATTGAAGATACCCCTTGCATCATTTACTCTTGCTATCTCAGTTTCCCTACATTAAAAAAAAAAAAAAAAAAAAGATTCATGGGCTCATGATTGAAATGTTGGAGCTGCTGTGAATGTGCATGGAAGTGTTCATACCCCAGGCATCTGAGGTGCCATTTCTTGCATGTCAGTTTTTGTTTTTGTTTGCTTTTTCCTTTTTAAAAGAATACCTATATTAACTTTCCCAGCTTAAAAAAATGAAAGCTTCCATTGTAACTTCATCCAAGCCCTAGAATATTCTCAGAACTCTCAGCCTTATGGGGAAAGTAGAAACAGTCATATGGTTTTTTTGGGGGGGTGGGGGGGAGGTGGATAATATGGGATAAGGGTTTGGGTGAAAAGGCAGTGTGAAATGTAATGGCCCCATCTGCCTGTTTTATTCACCTCCTTCCATGCGCTTACTAGGTGCTCAATATTTACTGAGGGCATTCAGTTGTAACGATGCAATGTTTTACTGCTATATTTTAAACAAGTGTAGCCAAATTGGGTGGTATAGTTAGTTATTTTAACCAACTCCCCCAGTGTATGACTAGTGTTGAGTCTGACCTTCTGTGACCACAGTAAGTATAGGAGGTTTAGTCTTTTTTTTTCCCCTCAAATACTTTAAGTGTGACCTAAACCAACAATGTCTTGACTAGCAAGTTCAGTGAGGCAATTTCTTCTTGCTTTCTGAATAAGCATCAAGTTACTGATTGTGAAATATGTACAAGTGATGACATTTCTTTTGTAATATTGGCAACTTATTGCAAAGTATATGAACCTCTTTTGCAGGTGATTTGGATTGCTACCCGTAGTATTTCCTCTAGTAAAACTCTTGCCCAGAAAAAGAGAAATATTGCATGGCTGTTGCTTTATCTTGTGCCTAACACATTTACCCACTCAGTCATCCATCCAATAAACATTTATGGAGTTTTGCCCTTGGCCATGTTCCCTGATACTTAATGGGCACTAAGCACATTTTAATTGATAATTAGAACAGAAAAGCACTGAGGATTACTTTGTGAGTGAGGAGGGAGACGATAAGGGGATGGGGTGAAGGGGACTCTGTTTAGACAAGTAAGTTCAGACTCTTATAATTAAGGAAACAATGAAAAGACACAGTAAATAGATAAGAGTTCTCACAAAAAAACCTCTGGTTCTGATGTCACACCATTTATAGAGTACAATTAGTGGTAGCTAAACAAAGGATATACATTACAATGCAATTTGAAGATAATAAACTTATTTTGCTCCTATATGAAATACCAAAATAATGTATCAGGTTGATGCAAAGGAAATTGAGCTGAACCTAGAGACATAAATATCACTGCTGACTTTGGATCTCCCTTTTTGATGGCTAATGAGTGATAATGTTTTACATGTGCACTTTCTCAAGAAGAGAAATGTCTGAGATTAGATAGTATTATCTCTGGTGCTATCTCTCATGCACTCAGCTATCTGGAAAATGTCTGTTCTATCAGTAGAATTCATAAGGGCTTGTTGAATATTTCACATAGCAGTTTTTATCCCAAGTATGGAAAACTATTATTTGACTTTAGCATGGTATTCCAGGGCCACCCAACTGAGCCTCAACCAGTCCTTCTAACTCTTGTCTGTCACTTTCCTTTACACTCTAGTCAAATATAACTTTGTACTCTCTCTCATCCTATCTCCTACCACATTCTCTTGACCTGTGTTTTCTCTTAAGTTGTTCCTTCTCCTAGAATGCCCTTCCTTTCCATCTGACTTCTGATTTTCATGGCAAATGACAACACTTTTATCAAGCCTTTTCTGACTTTTTTCCATTCAAAGGCTCTCTTTTCCCTCTGGCCTTCTACTTCAGTTTTTCTGCACCTCCCTTTTTGATGATTTCTCTACAGATTTTATATTTATTTCTGTACAGGTTTTCTCTTCTTATTTTACTCTAGACCAGATTTTGTTGATGGTATATGCCACAGATGTCTGGGAAAGAACTACATGAATATTCATGAATAAAAATGAATGCATTTATTTTGATAATATCCAAGGAAGCAAGTTGAAGAGTTGATTTAGTTATGTGCTGGCATGGAACTCTTTAATTTGTCCATGATTTAAAACACTGTGAGAGTGGCAATTTCTTTTCTTCTGTGGTTTTCCTCTAAAACCTTGGTAATTACTTTTCTGTAACTTATTAGGACACTGTTACCAAATAGACAATGAGTTTACTCATCTGTATAGTTCACATAAATGACTCAAATGCTTTAGGTTGCCTCTGATGCAGGTAAAAACATGTTAGAAATAGATGAGTAAGAAGAATGTAAAGGTTTACTAAAAACACAAGATAATGTTGTTTTATGTCCCTAAATTTCCATTGTAGAGAAACTACAAATCCTGAATCTCGTTTCTGTGCAATACGGATTTTCCATTCAGGCAGCTATATCTATATATAGAATGTTTGAACATAACCACAAAAACTCTCAGGCCAAATTTTGTTCCTTAAGTGAAGCTTCCTACAAAGACATTAAATAATTGTCAGCACCCTTTGGGTTTAGGTGGCACAAACTGTTTCTATTAGTCTAGGATTATCAGTGTGATCAATGTAATCCAACACATCCCTTGGGGCACATTTCCATTAAGTAAATTTGGATAAACTGTCCTTAGATGATCTTCCAAGTAGAGAAAGAAGTGTACCCAACCACATGATTATATTGAGATTCTGAGACTAGTAGAAATGTTTTGGTTTTAGATAGCTATGCTGGTTGCCAGAGACTACTAATGGATTTTCTAAAGATAAGAATATTTTGGAAACCATACTCAAGTGGCATAAGCTTGTTTAGGAATCATAATTAAATAAATCTCAAGTCAACGAAGGACCACACAAGAAGATTATTACACTGGCTTCCAATTATTCTCACCTGGTGACTCTTTTGAAAAAGCCTGAAGATGACACCAGGTGTGTTATTTAAATGGATTAGGTGCAGCATTAATTCAGATGTTTTAGGTCAATGGAATGCTTTATACTAGAGATTTTCTGGAAAATTTCCCAGTTTTTTTAGTCTGCTGATACCAGATTATCAACCAAATAGAATGTTTCCTTTAAAAAAAAAATCTGTACATTTATATGTCTATGTGTATGTATGTGTATATCTATGTGTATGTTATGTGTAGTGTGTTATATATGTGTGCATATGTATGTTTGTGTGTGTGTGTGTATATATATATATATTTATATATATATATATATAATTTATTCTATGCTTTGGATACATTTCTTATATCACATTTCTCTAAACATACAATGCCTAATAGAATGAGAGTATTTAAATCTAGCTGGCATTATTATATCTTTGTGCCTGGCACAATGCCCAGCCCGTAGTAGGTTTTCAATAAATATTTGAAACTGCCATATTTCTTTAATTTCTAAAGAACAGTATGTCACTTAAGAACAAATACTTTGAGAAGAGTTTGCACCCATTTTCATCCAAGATCCACTACTTAATAGCTCTTTGACCTTGAAGAAATTACCTAATTTCCCAAGTCTGAGAAAAATGGGGGAAATAATGCCTACTTACTGACACATTAATGGTAGAATTAGTTGTACTCTTGAATATGTGTAAATTGAAGATTGTATGTATACTATTTCTATTAATGCGGATACACATGATTTTTTCTTACTTTGGGCTTTGTTTTTTTTTTTTTTTTTTGTTTTTTTTTTTTTTTTTTTTAGAGAGAGAGCATACAAACGGGGAGGAGGAGGAGGAGGAGAGAGAGAGAGAGAGAGAGAGAGGGAGAATGTTAAGCAGGCACCATACTCAGCACAGAGCCTGACTCAGGGGCTCAATCTCACAACTGTGAGATCATGACCTGAGCTAAAATCAAGAGTTGGACGCATAACTGACTGAGCCACCCAGGTACCC